AATGTATTCCTTGCAGGGAGGGGGTTAAATCTCCAATTCAGCCTTAAGGGGGCTTAGGGGGCGGGGGTTTAAGTCAAAATGCTGAACCTTTGAAGCCAAACGAAGCCACCGCCTGCCAACCGCTGCTCTGTTCCACCTGCAGCAGCCTGGTTCTGGGAGCTCACAGAACCAAAATAAAGGAGTAGCTAGAGGAGAATGGCTAAAAGAAATCACAAACTGGGTCACAGTAGACAAATCCAGAAGAAGAAGGGAACTGGTGGGGCACTTGATCCCAGGGGCGAGATTGCAGCCCCCCCCGAGCCACGAGGGGGCGGCTTCGCGTGTTTTTCAGCCTCCTGGGGCTGCAGGGCTCAGCAGGATGGGGTGGCAACAGCAGGTTGTGGGGAGGACAGTGTTTTAGCACAGGTTTTCCTCTTTTGGGGAGTTCTTTTTTTTAAGGGAAGTTGGTGTTTTCAACCCGGTGGGGTTGATTACCTCTTTTTGGCTTATTTCTGGAAAAAAGCCAGCAGGATCCAGTTGCAGAAAGGAGCCACGGTTCCTGTGCAGCCCACAACTTGTGTCCCCCTCCCCCTTTACATTTCCCTTTGCAAGAGTCTGCGACAGGAGGTGGGAAAGGGGAAAAAGCTTTTCCCAGCTGGAAACACAGGGAAGGCCGCAGAGCTCGCTTCCAGCTCCTGGAGGAAGCCACTGGGCACGGGGGTCTCTCGGGGGACTTTGGGTGCAGCCCAGTTGCCTTCCTCAGGGCTTCCCCAGAGCAGAGCAGCCTTCTGAGCACGATCCAGCACGTGAGACCCACTGCCATGCCCAAGATCAGGTGGCGCGGGAACTGCCGCCCCAGGTCCCCCCCAGAGGCTTGTGGATCTGGGGGTCTGTGGGGCTGAGGGCACGAGGCCCTCAGAGGGATATGCTACAAACCTGGCGTGGCCTGGGAAGCCCCCCCAACTCTGCCCAGCTGATTTGCTTTGTCCCGCTCCTAAGGGCCAGAGCTTGGCTATGTGCTAGGTTCCTTCTCTTGCCCAGCAGAGGGAGCTGTAGCTCTTTGCTGACCCCATCCGGCGTGGCGTGGCGTGGCGTGGCGTGGCACCTCTCCAGAGCCATAGCGCAAATGCTCAGACCCGTGGCTCAGCGCTGGGAAGGGCCAGTCTTTGTTCAGTTCCACCGCCTCCTGGGAGCTCCTGGCCCATGGCCTGGGCCCCTTCCACCCCCCTGGCGGGCACCAACTTGGGGAAGGCTGCCCTGGAAGGTTTCTCTGTTGAAATCAGAATTGCGAAACTTTCCCTTGGTATGTGGAAGCTGAGTGGAGCATGTGCATGTGCAGAGATGTTTGCACGCTGCATGCGAAGCAGGATTTTATGCCTTCCTGCAAGTGCTGTTTGGAGCAGGAATGTTTCGTTCCCTTCTTCCTTCCCAGGCGGGTTACTGAAAACGTTCTGATGCAACTTTCCCTCATTGGCGCCAGAAGCATTGTCCCAACTGCCCCGACTGATATCTTGACACACCTTTTCAGCCCCTGCAACGGATCGCGCAGGCCTGGCAATGCGCGGTCCAAGCCAGCCACCAACCTCGAGCAAGGAGTTGCAATGTCGCTTAAGCAGAGACCTGCAGAGATGGGGGAGCCTAGCGGCGCCCGTGGGGTTGGGCAGCTGGGCAGGGCAGACAGACGCGGGTTCAAGCCCTCGGTCTCCAGATGACTTGTGGCCGACTGCCCTCCCTCGGCCGGCCGGCCTACCTTGCAAGGAAACAGTTTGCATCAGAAGCAAATCTAAAAGTGGGGGGCGTCAGGCAGGGGATCCCTGAGAGGCTGGTCTGCAACGGATGTCCCTTTTCCAAGGAAGCCCCCATCCCCATTCGCAGCGAGAGCAGTGGAGCAGGAGCTCTGGGGTGGCTGGAAGACTGGCCAGTCCTTCAGATAGCCTGCTCCCTTTTTTTTTCTTTTTTTCGGTCATAATTTTGGTTAACGTTTACGAACGCAAAGGTAAAAGAGTAGTACAAACTAAGGAGAATATAGAAAAGAAAAAGCACAGAGAAAAAGAACAAAAAGGAAAGAAAAAAGATATATGAAGAAATGACTCCCCCCCTCCAGACAAGTACAAACAACTTCAGTAACTTATTGCTGTCTCTGATATTTCAGTGAAAGATCTCTTCTCATATCTCATCTCTTATCAATAGACGAGCTATAAAACTACATCATTCGGTCCTAATCGGCAAAAGTCCATTAAGAGCTATCAGAAATTAGAACATTATATATTAACCTTAAATAAATTAGTTTTATATTCCTTTAACACAGTAACTTATCACCTTGTCTAAAAATACATCTCTTCCCATATCTTATCTGTTACTACAAACAAATATTAAAAGCCTCGTCACTCGGTCCTAGTAAAAAAAAGCCCATTAAGAGAAACCACATACATATTTTAACCTTGATCAGATAAACTCACTTTTTATTCCTTCTGTTTACTTTTAAAAAGCTTGATCTTTAATCCCTACGAATAAAGTCCCACAAGTTGATTACTTACCGTTTTCTCTTCGTTTCCTCTCAGAAACTCTTTCACCAGTTTAACACGCCTCTTTTGTAAATCCAGCCTAGAAAGCTATCCAAGTCACTCCTCTTATTATTTGTATAGCCCCTTTAATTAACTGGTTTCATTTGTAAATGCGCTGTGGCATCTCTTTCCCAGGCTCCCAGAGCTGTAGCACCCGCCAGAGAGCGCCGTCTTATGGTCTCCTCGCGGGGAGCCACTGCGTGGAGCGCTTGTGGGTGATCCTGGCCCCTTCTTGCTCCAGAGAGGAATTCCAAGGAGCTGATCCGTTCACCAGCTCCTCTTTCCGCCGCGACTGTCGGCTCCGCTCTCCGCAGAGCCGTCTTCAATCCGCCATTGCTTCCCTGGAAGTCTCAGATAGCCTGCTCCTGTGACGGGGTGACTGCACTGTGCAGACCACTTTCTCTCTCTGTTCTTGCAAGGGCGGCTGTCGAGGAGGCCTACGCCAAGTCCATGGTCAAAATGTCCAAGATGGCCGGCAACAGCACCCAGCTGGGGTGAGAAGCGGTGGCCTTGTGGGAACATTGCGTGGAGACAAAATGGGTCCTGCTCCCTCTGCGTGGTTGGGGGCCCAGTGGGCAGAGCAGGCATGGAGGGCTGCCCTGTACCCCTGCCCCTTTCATGGCCAAGGACACTCTTGCGTCCAGCTGCTTTTCAGGGTGACTTCCTCCTCCTTGGAGCGGAATTCATTTTGCAAGGGTGCTCCGGGGGAACACATGGTGCTTCCTCCACCTGTCCCCCCCCCACAGCCCAGTGAGGCAGGATGGGTTGAGAAGGAGGGATGAGCTTCTGGGGCTGGGCGGGGCTGGAACCCAGGTCTCCCTGCTGCAGCGCCTTCCCCACTGCAGCACCCGTGCTCTCCGGTGTGCCCAAAACGGTCACTGGGAGGAGGAGGACGGCTTCCCAAGGCGGCGCCGAATGAACAGGAGCCGCGTCTGGCTGTGGGTCCTTCGTGCCCTCCCTACCCCAGAAACGGGCCGGGTGGGTATTGCTGGTCATCGTGCCATCACGGCAGGTCCCGTGAGCCGAGCTCCTTCCTCCGCATCGATCACACCTGCTCCTTGAAAGCAGCACGGGCCGCCCCATCCTCGTGCATGCGTGCAGTTGCGTGTCCTTGTCTGTAATTAGATGGCCTCTGGCACTGGGCTCTTTGGCTATGATTGCCAGTTCTACACCCCCCCGCTGGCCCCTCTGCCCTCCTGCAGAACCTTCAGGGTTAGGGCCCTGACGTGTGAGCACGTGGGCTCCGGGGGGGGCTGAAGAGCCTCTAGAGGATGTTGGGCCAGGGGCTCACTGCTGTCCGTGTGCCCCCAGGACCTTTGCCCCCCTCTGGGAGGTCTTCCGAATCTCCTCTGACAAGCTGGCGCTGTGCCACGCTGAGCTGGTGAAGAAGCTGCAGGACCTCATCAAGGAGATCAGCCGCTACGGGGAGGAGCAGCTGCGAGCTCACAGAAAGGTGCCTCTGGGCAGATGACCGCCTGGGCTGAGTCCCTCCTGGACCAGGGACCATGGGGGGTTATCCCCCTGCGAGCCTCTCCGTCCCTAAGGCTGACCCAGGAAACGTGCCGCTGGCCCCCTCCCACCAGGCCCTCTTGCCAGCCACAGAACCGGCTTCTGGCTCTGGAAACCTGATCTTCTCTGGGGGTCCCCAGCCGGGGCTGGGCTGGTCCGGGCCCCTCTCCCGAGCCTGCCATGAAGAAGGGCCACATGCTCTGCTCTTCTTCCCCCCCCCCACCTCTGCTAGTCGAAGGACGAAGTGGCCGGGACCTTGGAGGCCGTTCAGCAGCTCCAGGGGGCTGCCCAGCACCTGCCGAAGGCCAAGGAGGCTTTCCACAGCCGATGCCAGGAGCTGGAGCGCCTCCGCAGGGAGGGGGCCAGCCAGAAGGAGATGGACAAGGTAAGTGGGGGGGGCGCCCTGCAGCGCCGCTTCCCCCGGGCCCCTGTTGCCAGGTTGATTGCCACGATGGCCTTGGTTTGGCTTCTCTTGGCTCCCTGGCTGGGGGGATGGATGGGCGTATTGGGGGGTGGACTCACAAGGTGGGACCTTGCCCTGACCCCTCCACCGTGTGTCCTTCACCAAGGCGGAACTGAAGTCCCGAAAGGCAGTGGATGCTCTGCGGCGCACCGTGGAGAAGTACAACGCCGCCCGTGCCGACTTTGAGCAGAAGATGCTGGACTCCGCGGTGGTATGGGATGCGGGGCAGGGGTGGCGCAGAACATGCCAGGTGGTCGGATTCACACCAAGCCCTGGGGGAGCTGTCTGGAGGGCTGTTGGCGGAGGCGGCTGACCCGCGCCACCTCCCTTGGGGGCACACCAGGGCCCCTGGCATGCTCTTGGTGCTTTCACGAGTCTGTTCAGGAAAAGGTGCCCCACCCCAGGATCTGGGTGCCTTCTCGTAGGTTGGGGGTGAACTGGGGAGGCTGGGCCCACCCAGTCGGGGACAAGGGGCCTGGGTGAAGCTCTAGGCGGTCCCTCCGTGTAAAGGCCAGTTTGTGGCATGGGGAACAAGGGGCTCCAAGGAGCCTGGTGGGTCCCTGCCCCAGAGCAGGCTGGCATGGGGTGGTGGGCGAGGGGCCCTGGTTTGCACCACCCTCCTTCCGGCATCCCTGGGGTCCGTGCTGAAGCAGTCCGGGACGAGTCTACCCTCCCGCCGGACCCACCACTTTTCTCCCGGCCTCTCCCAGCGGTTCCAGGAGGTCGAGGAGTCCCACCTGCAGCACATGAAGGCCCTGGTCAGCTCCTACGTCCACTCGGTGGAGGACTCCCACGTCCAGATCGGGCAGGTGAGGGGCGGAGGCGAGCCCACTGGGCAGCCCGAGGCCTGGCTGGGCTCCCCGAGGGGCTCCGTGGTCTCTGGGGAAGGGTGCTTCTGGGCAGACCTGCGAGGCAGACCTGCGAGGCAGCCCTGCTGCTCTATGGGGCTCCGGGAGAGGCAACCCAGTGCCCTCCAAGCGCTCTGCAGCCGCCCCCAGCTGGTGGGGGTTGCAGGCCACAGCCTGCAGAGGGGTCCCTGGCCCAGCCCTGCTGGTCCCCCTCCTGTTTCTTGCCCGTCCCCCCCAAGCGGTGTCAGGAGCCAGGCAGAGGGACCCCCTCCTCAGGGGTGTCCTGCAATGCTTCCCGGAAGGAGAGGACGGCAGGGGCAGTGAAAGCTGTGGTGGGGCCACTGTTTTCCCCCAAGTGCTCTTTCAACCCAGGAGCCAGCACTGGTGGGGCAGGGGCACCTGGCTGCGCCCCTCCAGCGGCCTTAGGACGGGCCTCCCTCCCCGTTCAGGTGCAGGAGGAATTCAAGCAGAACATGGAGAACATCGGGGTGGAGACGCTGCTGCGCAACTTTGCAGAGAGCAAGGGGACTGGCCGCGACCCGCCAGGTGAGAAGCCCTTGGCATCCCAGCCCTTCGGGGCACCTGTGAAACTAACTGCCTGAGCGCCCGCTGGTTGGGAATGGGATCCCGAAGTCCCAGGGGGGCGAGGCTGGTCTGCGAGAGAGAGAGGGAGAGAGAGGATGGGGGTGGAGGGACAGCCGGGCAGGTGGGCGGCTCCACTAAAGCCCTTTGGGCTTGGGGCCCAGGTTGTCCTCCAAGTCTGGGAGACTGTGAGCCTCGAGGTGGGAGGGCCCCCGTGCCCCCCAGGCCCACCCTGCCCCTCGCTGAGGGGATGCAGATTAAAGCATCTGCGACAAAGAAGGAGCTGGAGCTGTTTCCTTGGTGGACCAGATTCCTTGGGATTTTGACTCGGGGCTGCCCTGGCCTGAGCTGAGCAGAGCCCACGGACCAGCGCGGGATGCTCCCTGCCCCAGGCCCCTGGCAGAGGGGTGCCTTGCAGGGTTGGGGCCCAAGCCTCACCCCAGGCTTGTTTCTGCCTGCCCCCCAGGGCCCCTGGATCTGGAGGAGCTGAGCACGATGTCCTCACAGGAAGGCAAGTACGTCTGACTCAGGCAGGGGGTGGGTTGGGGGCTTCTGCATTTTCCTGGGAAGGGGGGAGTTAGTGGGGGAACCGGCTGGCGCTTGGGTTGACCGCGTGGGCGGGGGGGCACTCTCTACGGCGCAGGCGATCCCATTCGGAGATGGGCCACTCAGACGCCCCCCCTTCCCCGGTCCCAGGCACAGAGGCCTCCTCCTCTGGGTTTATTCCCCACCAGCCCTGTGAGGAGGGCTAGGCTGACTGGTCCAAGGAGCTCAGGGGAGATTGAACCCACATTTCTTGGTTAATTGGGGCCCCCAACAGTCCATGATGCCGCTACTTTGGATGCGGGGGGGCAGTCTGCTCCTTGTTTGGGGAGATGGTTCTGAGGCAAAGGGAAGTGGGACTTATGGGGGTCTGCGGACCACATGCAGTCTTCCAGCACCCCTTTCATCTCCCCCCACCCGTGGGAAGGGCCAAAGCCTTCCATCCCCCTTCCCTTCCCCTCCCTTCCGGGGGTGGGCATGGGAGAGGCAGGCATCTTCTCCACCGCCCCCAACATTTGCCCGTTTTCCGCTGAATTTTGGCAACGCGATCCTTGGGCTGCTGGGTGCCCCCTCCCCTGTTCGCTCCCCTCCCCAGCCAGAGCGATACGACCCAGATACTTTTCCGAAGGTTGGCCCGGATTCACAGACTTGACGTCACCAGCCACGCTCTTCAGGGCCCCCAACAGGGTCAGGGCCCCTCGCCCGTCCTCTCCCTGTCCCTTTGAGGAATGCCCCCCCCGGTTTGTCCAAATTAAGCAGGCAGCGCGTTGCATCTTGCAGCCCCGTCCCTCTCCCCCCAACTGTTGGGCGCACCTAGGAAAGAGGCGCCTTCCTTTCTTCCCGTGGGGGGGCTTCTCTGTTTGGCCGCATAAGCAAGCCCAGCCCTGCCCCCACAGGGCCCAAGCGGAGCCGCAGCAAAGCCTTCCGCATCCCCGGGCTGGGGCGCAAAGAGCGTGGGCGGGACTCAGGGTGAGTATGGCTGCCTTCCCCCCCCCCCC